TAGGAAAGAGTGGTAGTGCATGTCCAACCCGGCTCTAGACTGACGACCTTATGATGATGATGATCAATTGCACGCACTCAACAAAAATGTTGAACGTTGAAGTTGACACTGTCCTCTGTCCCTTGATTAATAACTGCTCTTCGTTTTTCAACCTCAGTTTCAATTATTGCTTCTTGGGTTCTGTAAAGTTAGTAGATAGTGTTTCTCTCTCTGTAATCTATTCCTGCTTCTCTCAAAGTATCCATAATTTTCGTTCAATTCAACTTTTGGAACGTCTTTGTAAATCTACAAACACTATGCACTACTTAAAGACTCAAAACTAGCAGTCTACCGAGCGGCATGGCCTAGAGGTCTAGACCATTGCTTAGCATTCGGGAGGACGCCGGATCGATTCCGGGTCCGTCCGTCTGCCTTGGTCCAAGTTTTTCTATGGTTTCCTTGGGTCACTTAGGCAAATGCTGAGGCAGTAATATTCCACAGATAATCTTTCACTCTCTTCTGTCTTCATTTCGTCCGTCTCATCTTTCTCACCCTAACCACCACCACTCACCCATTCCCACGATTCCTGAAAGCAGGCTGAAGAGGGCCTTCCGCCCTACCTTCCGGCATAGTCCGGAGGGACTGCCCGCCCACCAACATTACTGGCTGGTGGGAATGAAACACCCAAAAGTTTTTTTTTTGCAGTCTATCTTTAATTAATCGTAGAGCTAATACAGCTTTCGTTTGAGCACTTCCGTGTGATATGTCCAGACGCCTTCCGCTGCAGCTGTGGTTATGTTTCAGTTGAAGTTGAATTCGTTTTTTTTTATAATCAACGATGATCGTGTAGTGGTCGCAAGATTGGAATTTTTATGTTTTTCTGATCTTAAATGCTGGCAACTCCATGGGCTATGTTGAATTCTGTATGACGCTTTTCACATTTGAGTCCGATGGAGTACTGTTTTGTTTTATAAACGGATAATTTGTAGTTTAATTTTAAATGTACACTTGCGTTTGGGCATTGTTAAAATAAAGTGTTCATATACAAGAAATTTAAATCAACTACGATAGAACACGTGAAGAAAAAATGTGTGCAACAGAGGAACGAACGAATTACATTACTTTCGATGAAGACTAATGACAAAATTGAATGTTGTTGTTACTTATAGGTATCTATGTTTATAAGGTTCCAGCAGTCTATTAAAAAAAAATATTAGGCATTGTGGCTACTCTCTTTGTTAAAACGGCGCATTTTTGCTTCTCGAAACTGTGCTTGCGGACAACGGGAAAGCTACGGGAAACGGGACTGTACCGTTCAAAATGGATCATATGGTAGACAAGCTGTGATCTGTACCGCACTAGCATTTAAACCCACCCATAAGTTTATTAAAACTCTTACTTAAATCAAGTAGATTTTTATGCAGAGCAACATAATACCTATTATTTGTTTCCATTTTCTACATGAGTTCATGGTTTGTTCATTGCTGAACATGCAGCAATATGTGGATACTTTCTTCTGCGAATAATAGCTCCAGAGATAATATTTAAATTCTAGTAAAACCTTTTAGGTAAGATTAATGTCTTACGTGTAAATTTATTTTAATTAAATGAATTTTGTGTACAGAGAACATAACCTTATTAAAAAATTGTACGCCGACAAAAGAAAAAAACGCAAATAATATTTGATGACATAAATAGATAAAAGCGATAGCATTGAAACGATGATTTTTAATGTAATGTAAATTGAAAATATTTTCTCTAATATTAATTAGTAGACTTATCGTCCTTGTTGTCGTATATGCCTTATCTATTCTGATGACCACTGAACAGACGACAAAAACTTTTTTGTAATGAACTTGAAAAAACAGATGAATTTAGATGATTATTATATGAACTTTATCCTTAAAGCTGCATTTCATGTAATTTCATCTTTATTTTATTGAAACTAGCTGTGCCCGCGGCTTCGTCCGCTTGGAATTCAGTTTGTGACTATGAGAATCGTATTTTATCAATTTCTGAATTACTTTAACGTATAGATATATGTCGTCGCGGGGTCTTTCATAGGCCTTTCTAGGTTTTACAATTTTTTTATAGAAAGCACCCATACATCTCTTACCGACGAGACAGCGTCCGTCAGAAATGTATTCGCTCACCCGTTTTTCCATCAATATACGTTGCAAAATTTGAATCACGAAAACCCTTTTATTCTAACGGAATGATATGCAGCCTATGTCCACCGCAAGGGTTCATTCTAAATATTGGTGAAAGAATTTTTGATGTCAGATGAACAGTTTCGGAGATTACTTGCTACATCCCAACTTACAAATTTACAAAACGTACAAACTTCACCTCTTTATAGCTTTGGTATAAATCTGGTGTTCTACCATCATACCTCTCCTATGCATACATCCAAATTTTTTGTGATACGTATCATTGTTTTGCACCGTTTTGTTTACACATTGACAATAGCGATTATAATTTATAATCACCAGATATGTAAACAAAGAATAGCAAATATACTCTTTCGTTACATAACATAACAGAACTGTAATAATGCTTCCTGCAAATAATTTTCCTATAGTTGGACGTTCAAAATTGGCGTAGTCCGCAATAAAACGGTCGCTTTCTTTTAACTTACTAATTAGAGTGTTACTGACAGAGCGCCTACTTTTAATTATGACAGACGTTATAGGGAATATCGTAAACATAGAAAAGGAATGTCAGGTAGAAATTGCAGCGAACACTAATAAAGGAAAGGAAATAACATTACACCAATTAATGTGTAACAGAAAGAGATGCAGACAAGCAGAATTTGAGCATGTTGTCAGTATCGGACTTTAAAGTAAGTTCAACATTTTCAGGAATTTAGGAAAGCAAAGATGCTTCTTTAAAGATATAATTCCAACCAGGTAGTTATAAAGCCGGTTCTAGCCGATCACCTATGACCGCCCATCGAGAGCTCTGCTCGTTCAAGCTTGTTCCGACTATTTCTGTCTTGCTCACGCTTGGTGTGTATTCTTTCTATCTTCGCGCAGATTTCTGCAAGGTCACAATTCTAACAAATTGAAATGGACTGTACGCTTCTTATAAGAAATTATTTATATGTATTGTATATGGATATCATATTCGGAAATATTGATCGCGCTTTAGGAAAATTAGAGAGAAAGTTAATAATTTTCTTATTACGTACGTTAGACATTAGTATCATATAGGGAAAATACACACTTACAACAAAATAAAACCACCCACCTCCACTTTTTCCTATCTTCGTATTTCCGTAAAACTAGAACAACCCACATCCTTAACTACGCAACCACCCAGCATGCTGCCGGAAATAGGCAGGTCCGCATGCAGGGTGCCGAGCTGTTTTACCGGGAAATTAATAGGAAACACGTGCATTCAGGGACGTACGTTTATATTGTACGGATCGATGGAGAGTATTTACAATTGCAGTTGACAAATTGCATTTAAATTTGTGAAAATGTTTGATGCGAACAACTTTATTGCATTGGTGCATGCGAAACCGTCATTAAATTCCAAATTTCAAAATTTCCAGCAACTCGTCGAACGATTTAATCGACATTCGATAATAACATACTGTTGTGTTTTCTAATATTACTGTAAAATACCGGAAACCTTCCGCTTGGGTTGCCTTCAACATAATAAGGATAAATTTAATATTACTGCGGGAGGGTCTTTGAAGTAACCCTGCGGTTTCCAAAGGGCAAATAAATTTTATTGACATACTACTTCAACTGTTTGACACAAACTGAACGATCACCGGAAACGGTACCTGCGCTTCCGGATTTAGACGCCGAAAATATGCACAATGTGAACACAACACTCTCTTGCCAATAATACACATACGTATTTTATGCGTCTGCAGAATACTCATAGTGCAGACCCGGCTTATTTTCTGTGCACAAGAATCTACACAAAAATGTCTTTACTTGATCAAAAAATGAAGTATAGTAATACTATTTTTCGTAAAATTCTGTAATTCGTATTTTTAAAATAATATATGATATCGGATTCGTTTGAGTTCTATTGTACCTTCAGGCTATTTGTAGGAATATAGCAAATTTCGACATACTTTCATTTGAATATTATTTTAGTATTAGTATGGTTTTGCTATTATAAAACTAATTAAAATGTATTAAATCAATTGTCAGTATAATGCAATTAAACAAAATTGTAACAACAAACAAATAAAAAAAATATTTTTGAACTTGACATTGATTGATATCTCAATACAGACAAAATTTTACGCTAACTTCACATCCTCAGTTTATGCTTAATTAAGAATTTTAACTAAGGTATAATTTAAAATAATGCGATTATTATTTGTTAATAAATTAATGGGCATTACTTATTGCACTTAATTATTCTTAATGACTTGTTTACTTTTTAACTTTGTAAACAAAAACGTGTTGTTAGTTATAATATCATTTTTATTCATTTAGGAAGGTCGATCCACATTTTGAAGAATAGGGTGATTAAATTTTTTTCTTTAATATATTTAAATAATTCATCAAACCAATTCACAGAAAGAGAACATATACTAAACAGGAGAACTGGATTAGACTTTTTTATTACCACGTATTATTCCATTTTATTTTGGTTACAATTTTTGATAATCGATGTAAAAAGATGTTTCTCATTTTATCATCATTTTAGTCTGAACTACCTCATTTCTGACACATGTTAATTTCGAATGAAAGCTTTACCTAATTAAAAAGTAGACACTGAATGCAAGCGAAAAAAAAAACTGAAATTAAATTTAAAGGTATCAAACAATGTAGAACAGTACATACAATTCGAAATGCAAGAATCAATTACCGATATCCGTCCTTGTGCCCTTTAAGAACCGAATCCTTATCTCTAAATTAGATACAAAAATCATAACAATCGTAATGTGTACTAATCAAGGTACTTTAAAAAAAACATAGTGATAGCACTTCGTGAAGGTAGTAAAAAGTATAAAAACTCATGCTTTATAGTAAGCGGAAAATTCAAACACCCTCATTAGAAAAATGAAAGTTTTACTGTACATCTTCGGTCTTCTCGTTTTCAGTTTTGGGTTGGTTAAAATAATAACATTACTCATCGATAAAATGAAAATAAGTTTATACTTTTAGGACTCATGGTGACTCAATATATCAATTCCCGGATGACTTCCTATTCGGAACCGCTGCAGCTGCTTACCAAAATGAGGGAGCTTGGAATGTTAGTGGTATGTTGCAAATAATACAAATCAAGCTCATTAGATTAAACTAGTAATAATTTAATTTATTCTTGGATTATCGCCTATTTTACAGGAAAGGGACCTAGCATCTGGGATACTTTTACGCATCTACATTCAGAGTTTGTAGTAGACCATAGTAATGGGGACGTTGCTTGCGATGCTTACCACAAATTTAAAGAAGATGTTCAAATTTTGAAAGAATTGGGAGTAAAATTTTACAGATTTTCAATAGCTTGGACAAGAATATTTCCAACAGGCCTACCACATAATCCCAATGCTGATGGAATAGCCTTTTATAATGCCCTTTTAGATGAATTACAAAAGAATAGTATAATTCCAATGGTTACAATTTTCCACTGGGATGTTCCACAACCTTTACAGAATTTAGGAGGATTCATGAACCCAAAAATGATAGATTACTACATTGAATATGCTCGGGTTGCTTTTGAAAACTTTGGTGATCGCGTGAGATATTGGATAACTTTCAATGAGCCAAAACAGTTTTGTCAGGAAGGCCATGGAGAAGCGTATTATGCCCCGGCATTAAATATGTCTGGAGTAGCGGATTACTTGTGTGGCCATAATTTATTAAGATCTCATGCGGCAGCGTACCATCTTTACAATGACATTTATCGACCTCTTTTTGGTGGTAAGTTTCTGTAGGATCCAATAGGAAGTAGTATTTACTAGTATGTATATTATGCATCAAACTAATCAGTATGTGTCATGTGAGATGTTTTCAACAAGTAGGAAAAAGTGAATATGAATCATTAGCATGCCTACCGAAGGTCAGTCCCAAAAACACTATTTCATTCATGATACGGATAACAAACTTATTCGATATGACAGTGGAATAAAAAGCATAATTAAATTTAAAATTCAATTCTTCAGATAATGAAGATCTTTTTCCCCAGAACAATTTTTAATTGGAGTGCAAAGCGCGATGCGGAGACCTATATTCTAATTTAGGTCATAATAGCACAAACATTGATCTCTCAAAAATATTAAGAGATTCAGTAATGGCAATATTGACAGTGAAAATGTATACATTCTTGATCATTGGAATAATGTCCCATCAGAAACTGAGCTTTTTCTGTAACTAAAATCAGCCGCCCCTAGATCCTTCCTACTCCTAGGCCCAGACCTATCGCCAAATCAAGCACTATAACAATTCATATAACCATATCCACTTGGAACCTTTAACTACTTACTTTCTGTTTGAAAAGAATTAAATTTTTACGGATTTTATGGAGCCTTTTAGAAGTTGTTCATGTTTTCTCTTCGGAAGTGCTTGACATAAACATAACACATAATATCTTTTTCTCGGATAACAATTTGCTTGCTTTTGTTATTCCGCTTTTTTTTGTTTCCAATTTTGTGAAATTGCTGGAATATCTTTGATTTAAATAAATACTATTTTGTATCAATTGAATGATATCAAATTACTTTCGTTTCTGATTACAAATATCAATTTATTGCAATTTTTTAGGTGAAATCGGAATTACATTAAACGGACTTTGGTTTGAACCAAGTAACCCGCAAGAGGAAGAAGCTGCTGAAAGAATGAGACAATTCTATGTAAGAAATATCTTTTGTAAAGTAATTCACTAACAAAAATAGAATATTCTTGATGTGGAACGTCTTTAGAACGACAATAAATTTTCAAGCTTAGGAAATGAAAAATGTAAGAATGTAATAAGTAGTGTCGGGAAATATAACGTAAGTTGAAAATTTTGTGAATCGGAGTTCCTGAATATTTGGAGATATGATTTTCGGTACTTATGAACAAATTGGAAAAGTTATAAATAACATAAAATAAAGACTATTTTATATTAAGTATATAAAATGTTTTATGAAGTTATTTAGTCAAATTAATTGTTATATTGAGGCCGAATAAGAAGCAATGTATTTCCGAATTAACGTAATTCGGAGTATTACAGCAATAATTAACACGAATTCAAGTGAATTTGTAAGTGTCCCATATCGTTATTGGCATTGTTGTCGCTATCTGCTAATTATGAGAGAAAAATTTTCACTTCTGACACGCATTCATTGTATACGCGCTCTTGTGCTTTATTTTACTGTTTGAATGGTCATCGATAAACGTGTTACATTGTTCTTTCAGCTTGGATGGTGGGCGCATCCAATATTTACAGCTGAAGGAGATTATCCTCCAGTAATGAAGGAATATATCGCAAAACGTAGTGCGCAGCAAGGTTTTAGATGGTCACGCTTGCCAGAGTTTACAGCTGAAGAAGTTGAGTATATTAAAGGTAGTGCTGATTTTTTGGGTTTCAACCATTACAGTACTTTTTTGGCTGCCAACGCAGAGAATGATGACCTTACCATCTCATTTGCAAATGATCATCAGGTTAAAACGTTCTTGGATCCCAGTTGGCCAAAGGGAGCCTCATCTTGGCTATCGGTAATTTGTATACATTTTTTATAATATACACGTGCATAATCTGTCGTTTTCTACAGATATCTAAACATTAAAGCATGCAAATTGATCGAGACTGCTTACGGTGTGCTGAAGAGAACATTTCAAATACTACTATTTTGTTGTCCTTTAGTAGACTGATTTTTTTCTCTACATATCCTGCTTTTTCCTCCTCATCCTTCAACCAGTACTTAGATTACTCTCATTCTCCATTTTAAATTTTGCTATCACCGTTCCTTTAATTAAATATTCTGGTGTAACATCACTCTGCCATGCCTCCCGTAGAATTTCATTTAATCCTTTCGCTTACTCTGATTTTTGCATGCCCCTCTAGTCCTCCCTTCTTTTCAATGCATTCTTTACCATAATACCCATGCTTATTCTATTTTTTTTCTATTCACCCATTTGCCCACAATTTATAATTATATCTTTCAAAGCTTTCTCTCTATCCTTATCGTATCTATTTTTTATACCAATTCTTAATTTTTTTCCACACTTCTTGTCTTATATTTTATTTTCTAAAACTCCTTAGCTTTTTCTTATACGTATTTAAACTCTTCTTCTTGCTTCCGCAATCACACGCTTAGTTTCTCTTCATAATATATAGTCCGAAGTGCCTCTTTTTAATGTCAATATCAATTTTATTTATTTTCTGTAAGTACCATCAGCATACTTGCTTAAACTTTCTACAACCAAAGTTTCCTACCAGAGTTTCTAATCTTCTTAATCAGGACTACTAAATTCAAAGAGACTAACAGAAAATTTTAAATTTATTCAAACGTCGACTATTAAATAACGGTCATGCTTAGGATTAATTGATTAGACGTTTAAATTCATTGTTTTTCGGTGAATTGACCAAAACCGTATTGGCCTATGATCGAACTAAAATATACTTCGGAGTTCGATCAAAACAATAAGTCAATTAGTTCTCCCTAGGAAAGACCGTAATTCAGATTTTCACTATATTCGAACAAATAAAAAAACAGGTAGGAAAACAACTTTCAAAATTAGGTTCCACGTAAATCTTTTTCTATCAAAAACTTTTACAAACAAGTGAGTTTCAGATCTCGAGGTAATAATGCAGAATATATCGTAAAGCACCTTCAACTTTTGATTGCAAATTTCTTTTTTCTTGAATAAGTGTATAGTAGCTTGAAATTTTTTGTACCTACGGTCAATAAGCAGGCAAACGTGCCTTAATTCGTTGATTACTGTATTTCGTTGTTAATGATTGAATTACTCCGCATCGAAGTTGAATATTATTATGAGTTGATGATATGATGAGTTATTTATCAAATATTTTTGAGTATATTGTAATTGTATTATATTGTGATATGCATAAAAATTACGATGAAAATATTGCCGTTTAGGTGGTTCCATGGGGATTTAGAAAATTTTTGAAATGGCTTCGAGACAGTTACGACAATCCGTATATAGTAGTGACGGAGAATGGTTATTCTGATTTAGGACAAATCCATGATGCAGAACGGGTATCTTACTATGGGGTAATTTACTTTAAAGAAAACATTATTATACAAACAAAATTTAATATCTTCCTTTTGTATTTTTACAGCAATATTTAGAAGCTCTTCTTCAAGCCATATACGAAGATAATGTTTCTGTTATAGCATATGCTGCTTGGACATTAATGGATAATTTTGAATGGTTTGATGGATATAAGTAAGAAGCAAGCTGATATCTAACCAAGAAATATATTATATTTGTTTGTAGAAGCCGTTTTGGACTTTACTACGTCGATTTTTCTAGTCCCAATCGTCCAAGAATAGCTAAGGATTCTGCAAGGTTCTACAAGTACGTAATCGGAAACAACACTGTCGTTCCATACAAGAAAGTTAACTGAGAAAGGACAAATGAAACTACGATATGTAAAAGGATTCTCAATTTTCATTACCTTTTTGTTTAAGTCACGAAGAATAAAAACTCTTTTCATTTGAGATTTATTTCATTTCATTTTTCTTTATGCTTTAACATAACGAAATAAGGTGACAAGTAGAAAATGCTAAGTCGAACATTAAAACATCAAGTGTTGAAAAACTTTAGCCGATTGTATTAAACTTTATTTACAATGTGTAAATGCTTTAACATTTTTATTAATTTGTGCTTAAAATGTTAAATATTAAATCTGCATTTTCCAAATATTGGTAAAGGAGTATGCATCATTAGATCCAAACTTGTATTATGGGATACAAACATGCGTATAAACTGTTTGGATTCATATATTGGAATTATCCAAGCGGATAAAATTAAATCCAATCATATATCTGTGGCTTGGAACTAAATGGGCTAATGTCAAAGTCTTCCCATTTTAGAAAATTGCAGTTGATGTTTTTTCAAAAACAGTTTTAATTATAGCTTAAATGGAATTCAAGCTTTACTTACCAACTTTGACTTAACATGTCTAATATAATTGGACAGAACATGGTGGTGTTTTAACTCTTGGACCATGCAAAAAAACTGGCTACATCTTTAAAACCGCAGGCAACAGTTACCGTAGTTTCCCGATGTGCGAAAGGTTAGAAATGCTGTTTTTAATAAAACTACACGACCGCAAGTAACGTTCGGGATGAGGCTCTGAATCGTTTATGATAGTAGCAAATTTCGCTAGTTCTGTTGAGACTGCGTAAATGTGATCTGTTATCTAGTTGTTATTCTGCGGTTCTTGTTGCTGCTTGATAAATTGGTGAGAATTTTTTCATTGAGCTAGATCCATTTTTACAGTAAAGGTTTGATTTTGGGCAGTTTTGTTGTACCTTTTTGAACATCTGTAGCGAACCTATTCACTAAAAAAATACCTGGTGAGATGGGTTTCCTAGAAGTTAATCGGTTGCTGAAGTCAGTTGTCAGTTCATCAAGTGAATTAATTTTAAATACTTTCAGAACTTTCTGCACATGGCCGGCTGAAGAGGACCCTAGTTGGTCCTAGAACGGCCTGAGGTAGAGAGGTTTTAGTCGATAGGTCCGAGGACTTCTTCCTCGGGAATCCGACACTACCCAGTCGTACGGACGGCTGGGTGTCTTTTGAAGATTCCACTTCTTCCACGAAAACATAAAAAAAAAATCTGCACATGGAGAAGTAATAGTGTCAGCACCATTTACCCCTAAAATATCCTTGAAGATCTTGTCACCGTCGAATATTTGTGTTTACCTGAAGGGTTGTGATGGTTTCTTATCTCCCAGTGTACCAGTTCCAGCTCGTTTAGCATTTTATTTTTTGAGAGTGATTCTTTGAGTCACCGGAACGCTAAAAAATTTGCTGTTTAAGTTCATTGTTTTTGCCTAACCCAAATCGAAAATTTCCAGTAAAATGTTTCAGAAAAAAAACATGTTTTATTTGTTTAATACATGTAATTTCTTTAATTATAGAATAAAATGAATTTCTGCGCTTTATCGTGCATTAGTTGTGTTTTGTGTGTCTTCAATACTTATACCACAAGAATATCTGCAAACCGATGGCCCTTTCTTGAAACTCCAAATTTGCAAACTTTTCTGTCTCAAAATTATTTCTCTAATATTTGGAAATTGGTTTATATTCAGTACGTTATCAGTTTTCAATCAGGGCGATAAGTATGATATAGAGCAGAGGTTCCCAATTTTTTTTTTCTAAGAAACCCCTTTTTGGCCCACCCTTTTTTGGCGGAATCTCATCTACAGAGTATTCATCTTTAGGTTCGATCCAAATTTGAATTAAAAATAGAGTGGATGAATTCTTAATATAAGTAATCATACCCCGATACAGTTAACATTGATGGTTTAGACTAATTTGCAAATAGATTCTGTACTCAGTGGTTGTTCTGTAACTCTTTTGGAAATTATTCTTAAAGGATTTTTTGAGGTTCAATAGATGTTCTTTTATAGTTCTAACCACATCTGAGGTTACTTATTGTTACTCATTGTCTTCGAGAAATGTATTTAGAAGAAGAAAACATTCGTAACGTTTCTGTTATTCATCATATTCAATCCAGAAGCCAGATTTATTTTATACCAACCAATAAGTCAATTTCATTATAAGTAGGTACATTTCTCGTCATGCAATACTTAATACATGACTAACGGATGTAAAAAATAAGTTACTAAATCTTCTTCCGTTTGTGGAAGGAGTGATTGATGCTGACTTCCCATATCTTCACATGCTTTTTTAAAAAGCCTTGACTGCAATACATCTGTTACTAATGACATTCTCGGATAACGATAGCTACATTTAAAAAATGCGAAAATAATTAAATAAATAAATGAGTCAGGCTGCTTTGCGTGATCAGACAAGGTCTATAAGTGTAATAAGTAAGGATGATAACTAGACAAACAAAATAACTGAGGAAACAGAAATGAACCGGTGAACAATTTATTGTACCTTAACGTAATACCGAATGCTCTATCTCGCGGAACTCCTATGACCCTTCCACGGAAGTCCAGGGTTCCACAGAACACCTTTTGGTTTTTTGGGAACCGCTGATATAGAGAACCAATAGCATATTTCTATTTATTATTAGCTGTCTACATAAGCTTTTGGATAAACGTTTTTCAAATTGTGTCATATTTTTTTAATGCCGAAAACATTTAAGTTACACTTTACCGCATCAGATCAAAATGAGATTTGGACTAATAAGGGTAATGATATAAATGTTCTATTTCTATTCAAAGGAAAATGTTTTCGTATTTTTGTAACTACACCTTAGAAAACGATAGTTTGAATCGTACAGATCAGAATATTTTTAATGTTGAAGTTTTGCGCATCCAGGGGCCGTAGCCAGGGTTACGCTATGTCCTAGCTATATCCGGCTGGACTTGCCCTGGAAAATCTTCAGCCTTTTGTAGCCGCTACGCCGCTAGACTGAGCTTCCTGGAGCTTTTGAAAGTTCTGAGTTGTACTTCCTCTCTCTTAACAAGGATTAACAGTTCACAACAAACACCAATGAATATCAAATTTGATCCCTCTTGCATATGAACAAAATCTTACAAAAACTTAATACATTCAGTTGCTTTTAAAAAAATTTAACCAGCAAAAGAACTGATGATTACTTTTCTAATATTTTTTTTATTTACAATTAAATACTAAATTAATAAAAGAACTCAATTCTGTTATTATTTGAAAATTGGACGATTTGCATTTTAAGTTTTTATATTACGATTTTATTAAAGAAAATGTTTCTTTAAAAAGCAGCTCGAAATCTGGGATTTTCCATGTTGACCTCACATGTAATTTTTTTTAATTCCCCGTAAGTTTTCTGGAAAAGGGACAAAAACAGTAAAAATATAAAATATAATTATTTCATAGAAAATCTATGGCAAAAACGAAACAAAAATTGTAATATTTGCTGTATATATTGATTGTATATTGTATTACAAATTGTAGTTTAATTGTAAAAAAACAAAAACAGTAGCATCCCTAATTGTGTTTACATGAAATAAATATAAATTAAAGATGAAAATTTACCAATCTACTGCAATTAAATTATAATTATAGCTAAATTATAGCTNGCCTTCACCAAAATTTTTAATAAAATAAATAGTTTAAAATAAAAGAATTTGCTTATCTATGCCCCTTGTATTTAGTAATAATAGGAATAAGACCTAATTCTGAAACAAATCATATATAAAGGACAGTCTGAACTTCCTCTTAGCTAAAACAACATCGTACATAAGATTATTCTAGAGTTTAACAGTTTATTACCGAGATTCATCCAAAATTATGCGAAGATAGCAAAACACCTGATATCTCTACTCAAGAAATACAAAGCCGTGAAAATGGATAGATAGCGAGACTTTAGAAAAGTTCAAAACTCTCAAATTAAATTAATTCTATAGTTTCTTTGATTTTTCGATTAATTTGTCCCAAACTACTGACTGTCCGATATTATTACATTTACCCTAAAGGAGCTATGAAAAACGGTCTACCAATAGCTTCCATCAGTAGGACGTTAAACCCTGTTACTACTGAGAGGGAGCTTTTAATCATTGTTTGGGTAGTCAAACAATTTCGCTCATATCTGTACGGAAAACAATTCAAAATATGCTTTAAGTTAAAAATCATTATACAAAACGTTCTCGCAAAAAAAGGAAAAGACTTTATAACTAATAAAACAATGTCTATAAACGATCTTTTTTGATTAAAAATAGCAATGAGAATGACTTTCTATTGTGATGAAAAATTTTAAGAACTGCCAAGTTACGAAACAAATTTATAATAAAATTGATAAACTGTGAACGTCATATTTCCTTAGACACCCCTCCTCCCTTATCACATATCGTCACGCTAAACAATATCCCTCCTTCCCCCTTATTTGCGAACGTATTTTATGAGCCACCCTTATGTATCTTTCTTTCATTCCTACATTTTTAAATATATTTAAAATCATCTCCGATTTAACATTGTCAAAAACTTTTTCTAAATCTACCAATCCTATGCATAGAAGCTCTTTATTTTTTCTTTCGTTTTCTCTATTGTTCGTAAAGCTAAAATGACCTCCCGCGTTCCTCTATTTCTTCTAAATCCAAACAGGACTTCCCCTATTTTTTCCAACCTTCTCTGCACAATTAACTAACTTTAACGATCGTCAACTTGTTGATCGTTCCTTCGAAATCGGTTCAACTAATATTTCTAAGATTAGTTTGTACAGACAAATTTTTTTAAAGGTCGTTTATGTCTCAACAGCATGCATAGTTAAAAAAAAATTTTGGAAAAGTTTTGCTGACAATTGCAATTAGCTTTCCTGCCACCAGATTAAATGATGATGACCAAACTCATCCTAAAAGCTAATTTTCACTTGATTCTTATGCTTTTGGATGCGCTGGGCCCGTTATGTTAAAAATTGGGGAACTTTAATAAAATGACAACTTAGGCAAAAAAGATCATAATTGTCATTATTATACATATTATATACGCAAACAAATTAGGTACTTTTATGTTTTACCGCATTTTAAACAACACGAAAATTTTATAATAATAAACAACAATATGGTTATTCAGTTTCCCTTAACAAAACGCTCTTCAAATTTATGTTATTTAAAATTCGATTATATTAACATTATCGGTGTGTGTGCGTGTGTTACGTTAAACGTAAATAATAAAAAAATAATTTCTTTTATTAAACAATTGCTAAATGATATTGCTATATGTATGTAAAAATAATAATTATTTCATATTTAAAATAATATTAATCTACAATACATTGGCTACAGCTGGCGTATTAAAAATAAATAATAACACTTTTGTGCTTTTACTTTCTGTATATAATGTGCTATAAGTATAATACGAAGGTAAGCTTAAATTTATCCCATTATATTTTTAAATAGTATGAAAAATTTGGTACGGGAAAAATCACAAGAAATATTCGTGAGTTTCCAATGTATTATTTTTGGTCGTTATAT